CCAGAGCTCGCTTAAATCAAAGATTGTATAGAAGAATCCTGGTCTAAAGGAGGGGAGTAGAGAAGTTCATGTTCTCATAGAACCCAACTTTTCTGGAGTTATGGAGGCTGGATGAACCCCCAAAATTATTACCCTAAGGTAAACTTGAAAAAGAGAATATTCCCTGAAATCTTAAAACCAACCAATAGTTTAGAGTAATAATGTCTGCCTTCAGCATTATGTTCTTTTAAGATCTTTTGTTATTGTTATTTAGTAAGATTTTACGAAGACTTTGTTTTTATCTCATTTTGATCTTGTTTTAATCTGCTTGGAAGTCTTCCTACTACTCCTCCTCATTGCCATTGAATTAGAGCTGACTCATAGCTGACCCTCCAGCAAGTTTGTTTTGTTTGGCTCCCCCCAGCCAGTCCACCCCACAATGCACCCTTTGTTCCAGATTTTTCTCATATAATGCATAACCATATATTCCTTTTGGATAGATCTTCTCATCCATTCTAATGCAGTGTTAATTAGCTGTCCACTTGTTTTCCCTTCTCTTCCCCAACCACCCTATGTCCTAGTTTATAACAGAGGCAGTATGCAGTATTTGTCCTTTTGTGACTGAGATATTTCACTCATCATAATGCCCTCCAGGCTCCCCCATGTTGTGTAATGTTTTATGAGTTTGGTGTTTTTCAATGCTGTGTAATACTCCTTTATGACTATATTGTTTTTCTGTCTGTTCATTTGTTGTTGGGTATTTGTGTTGCTTCCATATCTTTGCTATTGTGAATAATGCAGCAATAAACATGAGTGTACATACAGAGTCGTGGCTCTTGTTTCTTTAGGGTATATTCCCAGTAATTGAATTGCTGGGTCAAATGGTATTTCTATTTCCAGTTTTTTGAGAAAGCACAAGACTGCCTTCTATTTTATATTCCCACCAGCAGTGAACATGAGTTCCAAGGGGAGCTCTGGTGGCCTAGTGGCAAGAAGCTGCACTGCAATCCCAGAGGAACACGGTTCGAATCCACCAGACGCTCTGCCGGAGAAGGAGGCGCAATATCCTCCTGTACCAGTCAGATCTGATTTGACGGTACACGCACACAAAATAATCATAATAGGCGAGCTCTGGTGGCCTAGTGGCAGGAAACTGTACTCCAATCCCAGAAGTGCACGGTTCAAATCCACCAGATGCTCTGCTGAAGAAGGAGGAACAGTCGCCTCCTGTACCAGTCAGATCCAATTTGACGGTACACGCATAAAAAAAAATAATAATAATCATAATAAAAAAAAGATAGAATGAAATAAAAATGATTAAAAAAAAAAAGAGTTCCAATCTCTCCTCTACAACCTTGCCAGCAATTGTTGTTTACTGCCCTATTGAACTTTGCTATTGTTGCTGGGTCTTTTAATATCTTCTAATGCTCTTTTAAGAAATGGGGTAAATTTGACAATAGCAACTTAGAAGATTAAATAAGAACCTAAAGGGACACTGAGTTTATGTCAACAGGGGAGGAACAATTCAGAAAAGCAAGGTGAGAGAGAATACTTGCACAGCTTAAAGAATGTGATCCATGTAACTGGATTTTACCTAGGGGAAAAAAAATTAATTGGTGCATATGCACAACAGCAAAAATATTTTCTAAAGATACAGTCAGAAGAAAATAAAATAGATGAGTGGGTCCTGAATCAAATCCCTCTGCACATCAAAAAGCTTCTCCAACAGGGTAAGAAGAAACCCCACAGACTGGGAAACAATATTTGACAATGACTTATCTGATAAGGGACTTGTATCTAAAACTTATAGAATATGTCAGCAACGCAACAAGAAAAAGGTAAACAAAAAAAACAAAAAAAAAAAGAAAAAGGTAAACAGCCTGATCACAAAGTGATCACAGGATATAGATACTTTACCAAAGAACAACTTGGGATGACAAACAAGCACTTGAAGAAATGTCCAAAATCCCTGGCTATTAGATGCAAATCACAGGTTGTACAGTCTGGTGGGTGGAGGAAGTGGGTAAAGGAAATGGGAAAGATCTTGTGGGGACCTGAAAAGACAGAATAGTGGTGGACATAGTCCAACGGTGATTAATTTTATAAAACAAAATGAATGGGAATGATTGTATGAAACACAGTATGAATGAAGAATAGTGTGAAACAAAATGTTTACAAACATTGTAAGCAAACCAATATAAAAGGAAAATTTAAGAAAACCAACTATGAGATACTATCTCACCCCAGCAACAACAGCAAAGTTCAGCAGGATAGCAAACAACAAATACTGGCAAGGTTGTAGAAAAGTGGAACTCTTCTTCACTACTGGTGACAGTGTTAAATGTTACAGCCACAACTGAGGGCAGTCTGGCGCTTTCTCAAAAAGTTGTAAATAAACATACCATTTAACCGAGACATTTCACTACTGGGAACGTAGCCTGAAGAAACCAGAGCCACGACTCAAACAGGATATATACACACCCGTGTTTATTGTTGCATTATTCATGAGTGCAAAGAGATGGAAACACACAGATACCCTATAACAAAGGAATGGATAGAAAAGCTATGGTACAGTCACATGATAGAATATTATGCAGCACTGAGAAACACCAAACTCATAAAACATTGCACAACATGGGGGAGCCTGGAGGACATTATGATGAGTGAACTATCTCAGTCACGAAAGGACAAATACTGCATAACACTACTGCTGTTATAAGATAGGAAGACAGCAGTGGGGTGGGCAAGAGAGAATGGGAGAAGGGTAGATAGATAGTGAACATTGTATTAGAACACATGGGGGAAGAATTATCTGAAAGGAATATATGATTTGGCATTATACGTATGACAATGTCTGGAACAAAGGGTGCATTTCTGGGTGGGGAAGGAGGTAAGAAAATGACCAACAAAAAATGGGGGGAAACAACTACAGGAGGGGGAGGGGGAAATGTGAATGAAAATCCCACTTTTCTGTAAACTTTCATTAAAATACAATAAAGGTTTAGGTTTGTCTTTTGCTTTTAAAAAGATTCAAATCCACCAGATGCTTTGCTGGAGAAGGAGGGATAATCTCCTCCTGTACTAGTCAGATCCGATTTGACAGGACCTACACACACAAAAATAAAATTTTA